TAAAATTATTTTATTTTAATCATCGTTTATCATAAATTAAGCAGGATATAAGTATAGGTAATATATAGGTTATTAATATCTGTAAATATGTATAGTATAACTAAGTAAATAATTTATATAGGTTTTTTTTTGTCAATTTTTTGTATTGTTATTCTAAATTTTACTCTTTTCATCTTTAGAATTTATCAACTAATAGTTTAAACAATTTTGAAAAATTCTATTGATATTTTAACAAAACGTTTTGAAATATTTCTCAGTATGTTCATTCTGTATATCAAGCCTTAAAAGGTCAATGTCGAACGATTCGTGTTAACTGAATGTAAACAAGCGCTTAATAAGAAAAAATTAAGACCGAGGAAGTAGGCAATACACACGTAGGGAGCATTATTGTTATTATAAAATTACATGGCTTGGTAGTTGGCATGTATTATTATGTATTAGATTTAAAACATAATTCTACGCATGAATCATTTATAAGATTTTAATATGTTACAGCAATTTTAATCTTATCTTACCTGTATAAAAAATAAATAAGAAAACGAAATAATAAAAATCTGAGTGTATTATATTGAAATATAATTTTATTTGAATAAATTAGTTATCGGATCTGCTGGTTTTATATTATTTGTTTTTTTTTTATTATATATAAGGATATGCTTATACAAAAACTCGTGTTTCTTTTAATATTGTTAATGAAAATCCAAAACGTGTGCTTTCATATTCGATTTCAATGATAATAATATTTGTTGGTATATATGTACTTCAACATAAACTCAAATTCCAATTATATGGGATTGTTGAATTGTTCGAACATTTGGCAATGGTCAAATTTATAAGGTCATTTTGAATTATTTGCGTTTTTTTTTTAAGATGTATTTTATGGTGTGTGTAAACGAATAACCTTGTTTAGGATATTTTTCACAAAAGAATACGTATATACATACCTACTTAGATATCTAGTCCCTACCCATTGTATTGAAAATTAATTTCATATTCACGCAATGTAATTTTATAATTTTAATAATTTAAAAATCAATAAATTGTAAAATGATAAAATATTTTTTAGATTTTTTAAATTTTTAGTATTGATTAGTTCATATTAAGTAAATATTTATGTAATAATGTTTATTTAACACGAAATATATTTAGTTACAAGATTTGTGTTTAAAAATGTAAAAACTTAAAATTCAGTGTTTATGTAGAACTATATGATGATGTAGTTTTAAATTTTTTAATGTATTTTAATAATAGTAATATGAAGGGAGGAAAACATGTTTAAAACCAATTGTACATTATGGATATTATAAAAAATCCCATCCAAACACTAATGCTTATTTACACGAATTAAAAAACGCAAATATAATATCTTATGGCATTGCTCTTACTTTTACCACATAAATTAAAAATTCTTTTCCTTCCAATTCATTGTTTTTTGATTTATTAATAAAACGTATTATTCAACTTTTTGATTACATTAGAAATAATTTATGCTGTTAAGTATAAGTATTTAATTATTTGTTTGCGAGGAAAAGCGTTGGTTAAAGTTTATATAAAACTATTTTATATCTTATTTTCGTATCTCGTTAACTTCAATTACAAATTTGTTCTCCCCAAACTCAAAATCTCCCTTTCCAAATTTATTATATTCAATAAATATATCTACTCAAGTTCATTCAATTTTTATCAATTTAAACAAAAACAATTAATAGATAATTTTTGTCATTAAAAAGCTAATATTATTGAGTTTTGGGGGGTAATTTCTTATTTATATAAATCATATATATTTTTATAAATCTGGAAGTAATGATTAATTATTGTATTTGTAGAATGATATTTGCGAAATTTGCCATAATTTACACATTAAATAACTTAGAGATAAAAAGTTAAAATTTTTTTGAATATTCATGTAAATGATAGGGCTACTTTTTTCAAATTTTAAAACTTAGAATAATTTTTTTTAAATTTATTACATTAGGTTAAATAGCTTGATTAAGTAAAATTTTATAATACAACCATTAAATGTAATTTTTGAAACACAAGAGTTATGAAACTATTACATTTATCAACAACAAAAAAATAAGAAAATATTCGTGAGAGAAATTCACTAATATTTCCAGTTTATTCTTAGATTTTCCTTATTCTTTGGAAAATGACTGAGTAAATCGATAACTACCTGTCGAAAGTACCAGTTAAGTTCAATTTTAGATTTCATAAGTTACTGTATGGAACTTTTGATATAGATTATCTATCTGAAAATGTATTTATATAAAAAAAAAAACATCACTGTAATATCAATATATTCCTCGCTTCGTTTACCATCTAAAATGTACAATATAACAAAAATGTTCGAAATAATTGCATGATGTCTTTTAATACGTTTATTATAACTTATAATTCAAGTATGCATAAAAACAACTTTTATAACTCTTAATTATCAATAGAGCTTTAAAAATCGTAAATGTGCAATTACTATGATTTCTAAACTTCGATTATAAGATAGATACTCGTATTTACAGTATTAGGGGTATATTATCATAAAATACATACACACGCATACGTCATCATTTGCTCGAGCTAACATCTAGTGTGAATGCATTGATAACTAGTGTAAACAAACAAATCCCTTTCAAATAAATATATAATATTTGTATTTCTGTATATAATATACTTTATTAACGCATTGATAAAATTGGGTTTAAGACGTTAAAGTGATAACTGTGAAAACAAAATTTTCAGAATTGTTGCTTATATTTATAATTTCTTAAGTCATGGATTTGATTTATTTTAAATATACAAAACTGTTTCCAATTTTGATTATGTTGTTATGTTTAAATTTATCTTACCAAATTAATAATACTTAAGTTTTTAAGATTCAATCCATGTACTATATAATGAGAAGCAGGATGAGTTTTTCGTAGACGAATACCATCTATAATAATACGTACAACATAAAATGATTTATTCATTTTTACACTATGGTGTTATAATTATCTATATTTTAAATTACATTAAAATTGTTCAGTGATAACATTGTTTTTTAATTAAATATATATTATTTTAGTATATTACGAGTATTTTATATTAACGTGGTATATTTTTGGATTTTAAATAATTTGTTTTTTATAAGATGATATTGAATATTTATTTTAAATTAAATTTATCCTTGTCTTTAGTTGAAATATCAAATTTTGGATTTCGATTAAAATTTTTATAGTATTTTTGATTTTGTCATTATATTTTTATATTATTTGATCGGATTTGAATTATTGAAAACATTCTTTCCTTTTTTTCTATTGCGTATAATAATTTATTTATCATTATTATTTACAATGTTTTTATTAGATGCGTAAATAGCATGCATTTGTCAGTTAAGTTTTGTAAATTAAACAATTAGATATATTGAACTTGCTTATAGATTTAATATTACTACTTTTATGAAATATAGTTGAAATATATCAATAATAAATTAGATTCGTTTGTGCATTTAATACAGAAATCAAGAAATTATAGTAGAGGTTCTCAACTAGGGTGGCGTAAATTTTAATTGAGAGTGCCATGAAATAATTTAAAATATAAGACAATCACACATATTTTTCACAATTTAAAAAAAAATTGATTCAATGAAGTTTAAGCCATGTGTGTTTAATTGTTTAACGTGCTAACACAGTATTAGTCCCATAATTTAAGTAACATATAATTAATATTGAAACTAATAAATTTGTTAATAATATATAATAATTGTTAAAAATATCTTAGTTCTTTATTAAATATTATGTGTTTGGTTACACTTAATTAAAGAATAACGAGCTAATAAAATGTAAATAAACGCTTTACTATAATAGAGAGTCTCCAGATTTTTACATTTTTAATGTATTTCTAAATTTTTTCCTATTATTTCAGGATATTAATTCTAAAAAACATTTGTACTTTTCATGTATATACAGGTAATCAGATTACTATCAAAATATGAAGTATTTTTTGTGATTCTTTTGTCTAGGTAATAATAATATATATATATATATGTAATATCGATCAAATTATAACTGAATAATATTATTACAAATAACATAAAATATATTTATGAGTATACATTTTGTACTGGAGAAAATTTTTTTTGCACAAAATCAATTTTTTTTTTAAGTTTTTGAGAAAAACTAATTACCAAGTCAGCTCTAATTATATCCAATACTATACAATTCCCATATTTTATAATATATGTATAATTATAAAAAATCGAATTCGAAACCATTTTGTTAAAAAAAAACGACAAACTTGTAAATGGACATGTTACGGGCCATATGGAACACCGGGCAATGCACACATTGCTCGGACAATTCAGTCCTGCCCAGGCAATTTGAACTTAGAATAGAAATAAATAATAGTTAAACTTATCATAATATACATAAATATATTTTTTACAAAACAATGTGTAACACATAAGTATAATATTCCTTACTCTGTATTTAAATTGTTTTATGTTATATATACTGTTTTCTCGTTTCGTATTGATAAAAGTAAAAGCTATGCCGATACAATCAGAAAACATTATACGAAAAATAATTAAGCAGTCGAATTTTCGTGCATTTCAAGACACTTTGTAGCACGTAATTATGTATATTCATAATCGAGGTTCAAATCGCCCGAGCAGTCTATAGGTTGTCCGGTATTCCTTAATGCCCGTAACACGTATTTATACATCTTTAGTTGTACAACCTAATGTTGAGTCCATCGTTCAATCGTATTGATCGTTTTTCTTTTTTCAACTCAGTACATCATCTATAATCGACACTTTGTTCTTTTGAAGTTTCGAAATATTTCGCGTGAGTTGATATACGATCTACCAGCAATCATAACCCCCTCCCCCCTTGTCATCTCCTTGGTTAATAAATGATGACGATAGAAGCGACTACACGTATATTTGGTGATATCTGTCCAATGTCCGTTCGTCGTATCGTCGGTTATGTACCGGTTCCCTAATGAGAGTCATGATCGTTTTTCAGTTGTTCCTCTATGTGGTTTACTGGCCGATAACGACGAAGTTGACGAAAAAGGAAATCAACGGACCATGGGACCGACCGTGGTGGCAGTGGCGGCAGCCGACTCGTCGGAAGGCGGCAGCAGCGGTGGCGGCGGCGCGAAAAAAAAAGGCATAAGGCGGTTGTTGACGCCCGCCATATTCAGTAGCAACAATAAGGCGGCGGACGTCAGTGGAGGAGCCGTTTTGCCGCCGGGGTCCGCGCATCAAGTGGTCCACCGTCAGAGCAAGACTCTAATCGAGACGGCGTTCGTCAGCAGCAACAACAACAACAACAACAATAGTAACGGTCTCGACAACAACAGCAGCTCTGCCGGAAACGCGACGTACGGGTTGCAACAACAGCAGCAACAGCAGCAGCGCGTTCAGTACCTGCAAGGGACGAACCGACGCGCGAACCCGGCAAATGATTTCCGGTCTCGGAGTGTCAGTCCCGGATCTTTCGACCGCGACGCGAACGCCAACTATGGCGTCGGCCGCCGAGCGGACAGCGCTTGTTCACTAGTCTCGTCGTCGTCGTCCACATGCGTGGCCGCCATCCCGGAATACTCGGGTGGTAGTCCTTCGTCGTCGGGCCGCCGGTCAGCTCCCATAGTCCCGTACTCGCAGTACTACAACAACCGCAACGGCGGTTCGGTGCCGGCACAGCAACAGCAACGGCAAACGCGGCCGCAGCAGCAAAGGTTGTTGCTCATGCCCGTCGGCGCCCAGGTCAAGATCACCGGACCGTCAGCGCCGTCGGCCGCTGCGTACGCGTCCGCTCTCCGTCAGCAACAGCAACAGCAGGTCGTCATCTACGGCAACGTGCCGGCGACCGCGGCCGAGAGGAGCCCGTTCGTCCGCGGATTACCGCATCGGGCCACCATCGGGTGCGTTCGGGAATCACCCAGCAGGCAGTCGACCATCTACGAGACGGACGAAGACGCGGCCCCGGCTGACGGTGGTGGCCAGAAGAGGTTCCAGCCGATTTTCAAACGAGGCGCCCTGCAAGCGCCCGCCGAAGAGCCGGCGGCCGTCGCGTTGGCTAGCCCGAAGAGGGTAAGCTTCTCGCCGCAGCCGTGTGCTGCAGCTCCGAGGTCACTGCAATCCGCCGAACCGGCCGCGTACTGGCCCACCAAGAAGGGCCCGTCCCCGCAGCCGCCCACCAGGCGACGAACCGCTGACTCGCCGGTGGCTGCGGTTGCTGACCGGCCGCTGCCGCCCGTGCCCAAGAGGAGCCCGTCCACCTCGGCCATTTACGGCACACTGCGCGGCTTCAATGAAGGCCAGTCAAAACAACCACAGATGATTCAGAACCGATGGTGTCCACCGTCTCCGCAGCATCACTATCATCAATCCGGGTCCGAGTCCGGCAGCGAGGCCGGAGAGGTACAGCGCATACTGAACGTCAAAAACGGTCATCTGGTCATCGGTAAGTAAATCACGCCATATTCGTTATATTACGATATTCGATATCGCCTATGATTTGCAATTGTATTGAATATTTTCATTTATAAATCGTTAAATAATCATATCGTAAATGATCTTAGATAGTTACAGCCTGCATTACCAATTGTCCTATTTCTAGAGATTCTTATATACTATACATAATAACCTAATTTCAAAACGAATCGTGGAAAAAATTCATTTTTAACAAGAGCTATTTTAAATGCTAATAAAATCTCCGATATCTCAGTTATTTTTGTCTTATATATTTTTATAGGTAAATCTATTACTTTCAAACCATGCAGTTTATTTATTTTAAATCTTTATACTGTTTTATTTATTTTCTATGTTTTAATCTTCATTTGTTGACCTACCTGTTCTTAGTTTTATTATAATTGTTACCATACCTATTATTTTCCATAAGTCAATAAAAATATACATAATTTTTTAGGCTTATTATAGGGTTCACAGTCGTTGAATATTATAATAAATAATTGATATAATTTTTTTGTTCTCTTAATTTAAATATCTAGATAGTATTAATAATATTAGTAAATACAAGTTAATACGCTGTTTCGTGAATGGCTGAAAACTTATAATAAAAATACAAAATAATTATTTTTTTAGATTGTTTTATTTTGAGTTCCATAAAATATTAAAAATTGGTATTTTGTCCGAAAAGAAATTGTTAGTAATATATGCATTACCCCACCCCCTTATATAGGCATCGCTTCATGATTTTGTTATAAAATCGAGATATCAGTTGGCTCGAGCAGATTGAGGTGTTGATTTTTATTGTGTACATGAACGCTATTTATATGACCAGTCATGCATTCATGTTCTTACAACATAAACGTTAATAGTTTTGATTTTAATTTGACCTGACCTATTAATACATTATGTCGGTATACTACGAAATAAGCGATGATTGATACGATGTTCATTAATAACGTTTATTGTTATTATATAGTTGTCGATTTTAGTTTTTAGTTTTCAAGTATGATTTTAAACGATGATGTCATCGACTGACATTTTGTCGTGTACATAATTTACGTAATACGCCGTATAATTTTAATTTCTACTTATATGTTTAGCCTAAGTGTCATTTGCAACAATTGATTTAAACTTTATAATTTATGCGTGTACAAAGTAAAGGTAGTGAAAAGTTTAAATTATGCACTCAAACAATATATCGTGTTGTTTTGGTAATAACTTATTATATACTGTATCATTGTACAGTATGCGCTACTATAGAACTTAAGGGGATTATTTGAATAATTAGTTAAATCGCCATTTGGTGGATATTTTATGAATTTATTGTATTATGCAAAATCTATTATTTAATACTAACAATTTAAAATACTATTTAATAAAGTTGAATACTTTCTGAAAAACATGCGCTACAAATGAATGATTATAATCTTTTGTGTATAATTGTGTAGTTTTAAATTATTTGCACGAAACTAAATAAAATTGACATTTATAGAGTATTTCATCATTTCCTGTCAATTATAATTTAATTTCCTTTTTACAGTCCTCTTTTCAACTGGTGCATAGTAATTTCACGGTCTTGATAGATAACCTTACCGAAGATATAAAAAAAAATTGAAAAGTTAAAGTAGACACTACTACGAAAAGTAATACATAGGATAACTTATAAAACATATCAAAATAGTGTCAATTTAAACTGAAGGTAATCAATTATTAAAATAAAGATTTATAATTTGTATGAGTATAATTGTAAAAAGTGTTAATTTAAAAATTATATATCTATAGCGTTTGAAAAATATTTAAATAAAAACTGTAAATATTTTGGAAGAAAATAGCTTCAAGTTTACATTTAGATACTTATAATGCCAGTAGCTGGATCGGTACCTAATTTTCTTCTTTGTATTTTTCTATAACAAGACAATTTTATAGTTTGTTCATTTGTTTTAGTGTCTTATTTTTATTATAAATGTTTTGTTATTGAAGCATAAAGAATTAGATTGGACCCCGTGATCATTCATTAAAACACAAGAAACCTTTAAGTTTCCAATCTATAAATAATTACAATCGATATAAAAAATGGCAAAAACTACAAAATTAAGTGTTAATTTATAAATATTGTATTATAAAATTATAATTAACATTAATAACAGATAAATAAAAAATACATAATTAACAGAAGAATATATTAATTATTATAGATTTTAACTGAAGCTTTTTAATCGTTTTGTTATTTTTTTTTGTGATCTCTTAATAGTTAATGTGTACCAACATTTTTATGTATCATTCAGTTTTTAAGACTATTTTTGATAAATAATAGATGGATAAGCAGGATAATTATCAATAAAGAATCATTTATTTGGATGTAAACATCCGGTAACCCGCATTTTGCTCATCTTCTTAGAAGTTAAGCCTGGGTAATTTTTTTTTATAAGTTGTGAGTATTGTGACTCATTTAATGTTCTGCTAAAGATTTTATGTTTATAAAGAACTCTTTAATGACTCTTTAAGTTGACAAACATAAGAAAGGTTTTTTGTTAACAGTTTTCATTATATTTACTGACTATTATATTACTTTTAACTACTGTTATAGAACGAATAAAATATATTCTTCAAATAGGTATTTCACCTACAACTATTTTTAACTTCACTAAGTTTCACGTAATTTCCATTTTCAGAAGATGCGCTTCATTCTTCTCAATCCTTCTCCTATTCCTCCTATTATTCAAACGTAAGAAAGGGCTTAAATATCCAAATTAATTATCCAAACGCTAACAACTCGCTATGATTTAGCCGACTTAAATTTTCCTACATTTTCTCTTAAACGGTTCATGGTTACGGGCAAAAATCGAAATCGGACAAATTTCAGAAATGCCCGGGCAAAACGCAAACTGCCCACAATCCTTGGGCAAAACTGCCAAAACCGTATACTGACTTTTATCATAAGGGCAAAACCCTAAAGTCTTAAATACGTTTACTAATACTAAATACAAATAATTATAAAATAAATATTATTGTACAAATATAATTGAATAAACTTAATTAATACATTTAAACCTCACTTGGGCCAATCTGAAACGTTTGAAATAACTTCACTAATATTAAATACAAAAAAATAATAATCATAAAATATTGTTTTGATATAATTTAATACACTTAAATAATAATAAAAATATAATGATATTAAGTATTTGTATAAAAATAAACATATAATAATACTTTATAAATAATAATTTATTTAGTGGAACTATTAACTTTTTAGAATCATCGATTGTTAGTATGTCAAATCTATTTAGTCTCCTGTATTCGCTCGTTGTTTTCTTTGAATTGACCTTTGCTTGTTCTACCTCTTTTATGAGTTCATCGTATCTTATATCACTTATTAAAGCACTACTTTCACTTTTTGTAATTTCATTAAGTTTTAATTCAAATTTAGTTTTAAAATCAGACACTCACTTTTCGTTAGCCATTGCTAAAGACGAACTAATATAAGCTCACCAAAATACTAGTTCGTATAGTATCAGTACAATATTGTACATTTAGATAAGGTGTATTTTGTATACCTTTAATATAACGAGTTGATTAAATACAATAACAGCGATAAATTAACAAGATACGCGTGGTCATCTATAATCGTAATAAAATCGTATTTAGTATTAGCAAACATATTTAAGACTCTAAGGTTTTGCCCTAACGATAAAACTCATATACGGTTTTGGTAGTTTTGCCCAAATGAGGTTGGTCATAATTAGGTTTGCCCGGTCAAAAGCCGAAATATGACATTTTGCCCGAGGATTGTAGACAGTTCGCGTTTTGCCCGGGCATTTCTGAGGTTTGTCCGATTTCGGCTTTTGCCCGTAACATATATACTTACATATATCTCCTGTTTAAAAATATCAAGTTCATTTTTAATCATAATTTTCAGTTTTTCGCGTATACAACCAAATATAAAAATAAGTATTTTAGTTATTAATTATAATATAAGAATTTTTGCGTGAAAGTTTGTAAAGTTTAGATAATTACCATTTATCATACATAGTGTAACATTTAAGAATTTAATGTAATAACATTGTTTTCGATTTAATTAATATTTACGTCGTATTGTTAATATTATAATAAATCTTATGAATACACTACATCTGTGACACGATTTTTTTGTTGGAACCGTATAGTTGCATTTGTTACAGTTTATGGGTTTTCACTGTACTACCAAAAAAGGCAAATAATATTTTGTGTATATCTTGGTACACATTTTTTTTATTATTCTGTTTTTTTTTTTTTTTATATTGATCTTAATCACAACTTTGGCTGCTTTGGCCATTAGTTTCATTTTATTTTTTTAAAAAAACTACATCATTGTTTTTATGTGTTACATTTAGAAATGGGTATGAAATTCGAAGATTTGAATTTTCCGAATATCCGCATATTAAAATTCACATTAGAATCAAATTCTTATCAAGATTTGCTGAAATATCCCAGGATTAATGATATAGCTTTTTATGTGGCTTATAATTATTTTTAATTTTTAGTAAAATAATTTATTTTATTTTATTATAATTAAAATTTAACGACAAATTAATATTATGTTTTACAATTTACTTATTATAACTTCAACATTGTATATAATTTATTATTAGTTACTAAAACAAGTCATTAAATTGTTAAGTTTATTTTATATCTCTATAACTTACAGCAATAACATAATTAGATACCCAATAACTTATCGTTATTGTAGAACCATAATTAAATTTATGTGATTATAAAAATGATTTATTGAACTGCAAAATTAAATAAAATAATTGGATAGTTTATGAAATTTTAACAGAATATATTTTATTTTGTTAAACTAATTTGTCTTATTATCATATATTTTATAAAATACTATATATAATATTTCTTTTCCGTGTATTTTTATCGTTATTGATTCTACATTACTAATTATATTCATTTGTGCACTGAAGAAATCATCAGAGACAATGGTGGCAACGTCGCCACTAG